GGGGGCCGGTGGAGCGTCAGTCACCAATACAAAGTTGGTTTGGCGGTAGGGGACGGTGAAGCAGTTGAGGGGCCTCCTTTGCCAGGTGGGTTCGGAGGCCCTCCACGGTTTCCATTGGATATCGAGGTTGGTGTCCAATTCCGAAAAGACTGCATGAGGATCCTGCCACAGTTGACGGTAGTTGTCGCAGATGGTTATCCTGAGCACTGGGTCTTTTTAGTTGTGCTGGTCCCGTTTGAAGCTTTTCCAGGCTTCTTGCTTTCTGCTCCTGATGGTCTCTTCTGCTGCGTGTTGTGCCTGTTGCAATCCAAATTGGTGATCTTTCCTCTCGAAAGAGCATCTGGCTCTCTGTGCTAACATCAAGATTTAGTCCCCAGGGGCCATGTTCACCAAACTGACAAGGGCCGAAGATATGGATACGACAGAAAGATGGGGTGGGTTGATGCAAATCAGAGTGGTAGGCGACCCACAAAACGGACTGTTTGCGTACGACGGTACGACTCCTCCACGCCGTTGGCCGGGCTTCCTTTTGATCCAGTTGAGTGGGAGTGGCCGGGGGCAAACCCATGGCCATATGGGAATATACAGTCAAAGGAGGCTACAGAGCCGCCCGCCCGACTATATCAATCAACCATCCTATAACCCAAAGATGGGCGCGAGACTCCCCTCTGGACCCAGAGCTCGGGAGCGATCTGCTGTGGGGTAAGCACTCAAAAATTATGCCCACAAATCTCAGGGCCCTTCAATGGCAAATCGTGCATCGTTGCCTACCCACCCCTGGCTGGTTAGTCACAAGAACAGATTTAGAACAGAAAGGGTTGCTGTCTCCCATCTGCTCCTATTGTGGCAGAGCTTCGCCACCGGCCCGGGCCACATTAGAACACTGTGTCCTGGCCTGTCCGATGGTGGCCGAGATATGGCAGTGGTGGGACGCAGCGTTTCACTAGCTCACAGCCTGTCACATTCCTTGGGACCTGGGCCTTCTGCTTCTGGGCAAGAACCAGCACCTGTTGGCACAATGGTCACCTTTTGCAACCAATCTTTTCTCCTACAATGGCGCCTTTTTCTTTTACTTCGGTTGCCTTTCAATCCATCGCTGGCTGAGGAGGAAGAGAGGGGAGATGGTGCTGGGTTTCCTTCATTTCCTCTGTTCGTCATGCTAACTTCCTGACTGGCATGTGGAGAAGAGAGCAAGGGAGGAGGAGAGGAGGAAAGACACAAACTAGTCGTTTTGTTCTTGTTATCGTTCTCAGAGTGGGACTCGGAGCAGAGGAAATGGAGGAGGGGAGGGAAGGGAGGAGGGAATGAAGGGGAGATGGGACTGGGTTCCCTTTTTCTGAAAGTGGGAGGGAGGAGAGAAAGGAGGAGAGGACCAATGGGCCTAGCTTAGTTGGTACACTGATGAACTGTAGACCTGAGCTCCCATCCAGATGGAAGTAGATAAATGAAATCAAATCTTTCTGAATCGTCTGGGGCTGGTCGGTTCGCCACTGTCCCCTTTTCCAGAAAGAAAAAAGGGTAAGTTTAAAAAATAGCGCATTCATGGTAGTTTCACAGCAAAAGTAGTGGCGGGCCCCGAGTTTCATTGCAAAAATACGTCTTTCGTTGCAGCTTTAGAGGTGCCGGTAGTTTCACAGCAAAAATATTTGTGCGTGAATCATCTGGGGCTGGTCGATTCGATAATCATATCTCAAGGCCGTCCCCTTTTCCAGAAAGAAGACAGGCTAAGTTTC